GAAGCCTTGATGAAGTCAGCCCCATAATTAGGATAACGTTCAACAACAAAAAACAGCAGAGAAATCAAACATAAGAGTTTCCCTGGAAACACCACAAAACTGCTCCTTGAAGCACCACAGGCAGATCATGGTGGGGTTTTTATCCAACTGAAGAAAGCGTCTGTGTTTGCTTCAGATAGCTGCTCTGACGTCCCTGAAATAACCTCCACAAGCACAGCGTGACCAGGTGACAGTCTCTAAACTCACAAGATGCAGGACCTTGCCGCAGACACTAACAACAGCTTAATGGTACAAGCTGAAGCAGTTCGCACTGATATATGGGTTTAGATGTATCTCCACTAGAGTCCAACAGGCTGAAGGGAAAGAATGGCAAGGCAATAAAAGCAGCACACGGGGTTTTGCTGGGGGAAGCCCCCAGTGCACAACACCCATCCATCACTCACTGCTGGCCTCACTACTTGCTCAACACAGCCCTCACTGTTTGTTGCATTTGAATATCACCACAAGTACCTCTGAAATGGCAGAAGGCAGAGCCCATCCTCTCAGTCAAAGGGGAACCTGAGCCTTCACAGGAGGCAAAACCGGTTTTGGGGCTCTTCTGTGAATGGACCTAAGACCCTTTTGAATGCCACTCATTAGTGCTGGGGCTGGCAGGAACTGTTCTATGCCCCAGCTGATGAACACCACCACTGCTGCCAAGTCTCCTGATAAATAAAAAAGGATAGGAAAAGCCTGATGGCTTTTGAAAGAGGCAACAGAAAGCGCTGAAGGCAGCAAACACCATTTGCAGTAACAAAGACAGTTATGCTCAAGAGCAGCTCAGTGGTGGTATTCAACCCAGTTTTCCTCTCCAACATCTGCTTTTAACAGCAGAGAAATCGATAGCACTAAAGGCAACTACGATCAAGCTGATGGGGAATGCTGCAAACTGCTCCAAACAGCTCTCCTCATTCACTCAGTTTATCACCAACAGCACTCAGCTCTTCCAGCTCCAGGCATGCTCCCCTCTACCTCAGCTCTCCAAGTGGGAATGATGTTTGTCAGAGACAAGGCAGGAGACTAATTACAGTACACATTTCATCAGTGAAGGGACCCCAGGGAGAGGAGAGGAGGGGGACTATAGCTCTTGCCTCTGCCACCTAAACAGCTTGTGTTTATTAGTGTGGAAGTAAGTATGACAGCAAACTGATGCCTATGGAGCAATTCACCCATTAACCTTACATCCGCCACAGTTCACACCCACCACCATTACTATGCACCGTTAATATTTATAAGGGTGATGTGTCTCTGACAGGAACTTGTGCCTCCAACGACAACAGATGTTATATTGCTTATGAAAGAAACTACTCAAGCATCCCCAATGGACCTTGTCCATGCTCATCATGTCTTTATCCCATGCTCTGATTATATTATCCATGGGGAGACTTGGTTAGCTACTACTGACTCAGGCCCAAGAACAGGGAAGGCAGCACACTTGCCTGTGGAGTCCTTAAAGCTTCTCAGAGCCATATTATGTCTTTGGGAATGATCATCTAGTAGCTGGAAACCTTTCAAATGCACCCAGTAACTCTAACAGAAGCATTTAAGGCTTTCCTCAGCAGACTCCCCCATCTCATAAGGATTTGTCACTTACCTGGGCTTCCAAAGCACACGCAAGCAGCTGAGGCTGCAGGGTGTTGCCTTTGCCACTGTCACCACAGCTGCATTACTGATCATACAGAATCAATACAGAATTAAACCCTGTCATTATACGCTGCAATATACTGCTCCATGCATGGACTTGTAGCACCAATGCAGCAAGGTACCAGTCCCATTACTTCTGCTAAAACTAAGCTGCTCCTTGGCTAAATTGTAATCTACACCAAGTGTGGGAGCACCAGCCTCTTGCAGGACAGAGCTCCCTGCTCTAGCAAGGGTTAAACTCCCACCCTCCATTGAGGAGAAAGCAGTGCCCATACACCTCCCCATCAACAGACAGCAGGATGGGTTAAACTGGAAAGAATGAGACAGCTAAGTCAAAGGGTTTGCTAAAATCTCCTTCAGGAACCACCATGCGTGGGCAAGCACTGAGGTTTTAAACAAGGTATCTAAGGAACATTTTCTTTTTCGAGATCACAGTTGACATTGCCATTAAAATGCATGAGGTTACCATCACTCGCTTCACCTGAAGAGGTGGAGCTTGTTTAAAGTAGCACCAAAATGTCACGTTATTCCTGTGGGCTAGAGCAGACAGCCCACATTGTCTCCCTCCTCCAGAACAGCAGCTCTAGTAATGCCCTCATGTTTATGGCACGTCCATTTTTCATGCCCAGCACAAATGGCTCCAGCATTTGCCAACACACTTTATTTGTAGCTTTCCACAGGAAACACAGAGAGAGACACTGCAGAGTCCTGACACACCTGACCCATGCCTGAGGTGCATTCAGGAGCTTCTTTCCTAGGCTAACACTGCAGAAGCTCCAACCTAAGTTAGACCTGAAACACAACCAACATAACTGCAGTAAAGAGGCCTGACAGGTTTGGGGACTGCACCTGCAGCCACAGCGGTGCAATGTTTCTGCTCTAAATCACCAGTTCACACTCGTGTGAAACCCACTGTTTGAGCATCCCTGATTACACATGCTAGGAAAGGGTAAGATTTCTCTGCAGAGAGCAAGCCCCCACCTCTTGGAGTTCATCTTTTACTATTTGGTCACATACATTCAGTGTAACTGTACACTTTATAAACACACGTGTTTGTACACATCTGCTGACCTTTCCTGCCTAGTTTTGGCTCAGAACAAAGCTGGCTCCTTCAGAATCATGACACCCATTACTTTGCTGTCATTTGCACCCATACAATTGTTTTCCTCCTTCCGATTCAGGCTAACTATGAAGAAACTATACACAAAAAGCAATCACAGGTGTGTGTGTCTACTTGCTTAAAGACACAGCTGCTACGTACCTGGCTTGGCTTAAACAGCATTTCTGCTTAGTCAGTATTAATGGTTTTAATGAAAAGGAAAAGCCAGTTTCCACTTTGCATTACACGGTGCATCAGAAGCAGAAGGGCAGATTTAGTCATCCAGCCTCAGGTACATCCCATTCTGCTCCTGCCTGGTACGAGGAAACGTCACCTACAGAGCAAACTCTCTGTCAAAATCCAAGAATTGTTGTTTAAAATAAAAGGAAGAAACGTAACAGAAGCGCCTTTCTGAAAATAAAATCTCCCACCCGTGGTGATCCAAGAAGCAGAGCAGCCTGAGCTGAGGTCTCCAGCCAAGATATCCCATGTGCTGGCTTTACTATAGAATGCTGTAAAGGACCTTAAAGCTCATCCAGTTCCAACCCCTGCCGCGGGCAGGGACACCTTCCACTAGAGCAGGTTGCTCCAAGCCCCTGTGTCCAACCTGGCCTTGAACACTGCCAGGGATGGGGCAGCCACAGCTTCTCTGGGCACCCTGTGCCAGTGCCTCAGCACCCTCACAGGGAAGAATTTCTGCCTAACGTCTCATCTCTATGTCCCCTCTGTCAGTTTAAAGCCATTCCCGTTGTGCTGTCACTACCGGCCCTTGTCAAAAGCCCCTCTCCAGGTTTCTTGTAGCCCCTTTAGGCACTGGAGCTGCTCTAAGCAGCTCTAAGATTCTCTTCTCCAGGCTGAACTCTGGAGCTCGCTCAGCCTGTCTCTGTATCAGAGGTTCTTCAGTGTATTCTCTCTGCTGTGCTCCTCTGAAGAAAGACGGTGCCGAACATCTCTATCTCGCTTTGCTCTTTTATCCGACATAGATCAGCATATAGCACGCACTGAAGCTGAAAAGCAGCTTTGAAGCTGAAAAGCTTTGAAGCTGAAAAGCAGCATTAAGTTATAGCGGGACTAAAGAGCTACCCCGACCTGTCCCAGCGCACATGCCGTTAGCCGCTGGACCGCGCGCTACGAGTCAGACACCGACCGACACACACGGACCAATAAAGCAATAGGGATGGGGATCCCGAGCTCCCTGCACCTCCGCGGGTGCACTCAGACCCCTCCGCAAGGAAAACCTCAGCACCACCGAACCCAGGGGGTTTCCCGTGCTTTGGAACGGAGCATTAGAGCTGGAGCGAGAGAGGAGCTATGCTGGACACGTACAGCGAGGCACAGCGAGCAGCCCCGCGCCGGCGATGCCGATTGAAGCGGGGGGGGGGGACGCGTCTCCCGTTTCCTCGGGCGGTAAAAATATGACCCGCATTAGCGAGGAGAATAAAGGGAGGGAAACAAAGGAGCGGGAGCCAACACCTGTCGCTCTCCTCAGGGATGAGACCTAGCGCTTTTATGTGCTTCAGCCTGCTGGGGAACCGCAGCTGCCAACTGCCATCAGCATCAAGTTACCCGCACAAAGCTGCCTGCGCGCCGCTTTCAGCCGCACGGGAGGCGGGGGACTGCGAGCCGACGTGGGGCGGCACCGACCGCTCAGCCAGGGTGCCGCACGGCCCTGCCGCAGGGCCCGAAGCGAGCTCCCAAACCTCACCCCGCCACTTGCGAAGCCTCCTATGCACTGGAGGAGAACAGGACAAGACGACCGGACCCACCATCAGCTCAGGGCTCAACCCAGTCTCTCTCAGCCCCAAGCTGCTGCTGACACCCGGCCATCCCCATCTGCAGCCATAACCGCTGCCAGCAGCGAGGGCCACCGGCGGCCGCGGGCTGATGGACGGACAGAAGCAGGCTCACGCCCCCCCCCCCCGCTCTGAGCCAGTAAATGGCCGAAAGCTGGGGTGCTGCGGGAGGGGGGAAGGCGCTGCCATGCCCCAGCGCTTTGAGGAAGCTGCCCCGCCGGAGGAGTAACGTCCCCTCCCCAGTGCCGTCAGGGGACCAAGCGCAGCCGGGCCCGACCCCATAGCTCCGGCGGGGCCCGGCGGGTAGCGCACACGTCCCCCCCACCCCGGAGCAGACAAAGCGGCCGCCTGCCATTGGCCCGTTCAGCCCACGCTGCGGCAGCGGTAGCGCGGAGCGGCCAATGGGCGCGCCGAGCAGCGGCGCGCAGGGTATAAGTAGGGCGGCGCGGTGGGGCGGGGAGCGCAGCGGGGCAGAGCATCTCGGGTCCGCCGGGCCGCGCCATGGCGCCCTCGTTCCGGCCCGGCAAGGGCCGCCCGCCTCAGGACGGGGCCGATAGGAAGGTGAGCGGCAGCGCCGGGCGGGCGGTGGGGGCTGTAGGGAGGGAGGGCGGGCGGGCGGGCTGACGGCGCTGTCGTCCCCGCAGACAAGGAAGCCGCTGGTGGAGAAGAAGCGCCGGGCGCGGATCAACGAGAGCCTGCAGGAGCTGCGGTCGCTGCTGGCCGACAGCGAGGTGAGGAGGGGCGGCGGGGCGGGTCGGGCTCGTGCGGGGCGGCGGGGCCGTGCTGACGGCCGCGGCGTCCCATCGCAGTTTCAGACGAAGCTGGAGAACGCGGAGGTGCTGGAGCTGACGGTGCGGCGGGTGCAGGCCGTGCTGGAGCGCCGCTCGCTCGGTGAGTGCCGGCGGGGCGGCGGAGGGGCCCGGCGGGGCCCGGCCCCGATCTCATGCTGCTCCCTTCTCTGTCTCCCGCGGCGCGCAGAGGGCGGGCGGCTGCACCGTGAGGCCAGCGAGCGGTTCGCTGCCGGGTACATCCAGTGTATGCATGAGGTGCACACCTTCGTGTCCAGCTGCCCCGGCATCGACGCCACCACGGCTGCCGAGCTGCTGAACCACCTGCTGGAGTCCATGCCCCTCAGCGACGGCGGCTGCCCGGACTCGGTCACGGACCCTGGGGCAGATCCCACCGCGCTCAGCCTCTCGCTCGGCAGCGAGGCGCTGGCCCCGGCCCTCCCTGCCTTGGCACCCTCGCCCTCTCCCAGCGAAGAGACCTGCTCCGACTCGGACGAGGCGGAAGCCGAGCCGGGCCAGACCTCTACTGATGGACTGGATGCTTCCCAGACGCATGGCCTACCTTCGCCTTGCTTACCCAAATCCATGTGGAGACCGTGGTAAGGGAAGGGTACGCAGGAATCGGCGCAGATCTGCCTAGCGGGGAGAGCAGCCGGGCACCGTGCTGCCCTATGGCACTCTGAGCAGCGCGAGGGACTGCCGGCCGGCATCGCTGCACTTCGGGACTGCATCAGCGGCACTCTTAACGCTGCTGTCAGGCCCTGACAGGCTAATAGCTAAACGTGTTAACATTTCATCCGTGTGCGTGTGTGGCGTTTTGTAACTTTAGGGGGTGTTTTTATGAGGTTGGGGGAGGGGCGGGGTAAGGGAGTTGGTCTTTAGTAGCAAAGCTCTTTGGTGGATACACAGCAGTTATTTTATAACCCTGTTTCTTGGCCCTTATAAGTGGCCCTGAAATCACTGCCCTTTTCTTAAGAAAAAGCCCTTGTGCATCTTAAATCATGATGGTTAACTCCATGAGAAGCTTGGGTCTGCATGCACAGTTTTAAGTGTTTTAGTGATAGCAAAGACCCCTGAAAGGGGTTGGTGTGGTTAGCATCTGTCCTTGGTAGCCTAGAGTCCCACCTTCAGTGGAGGAAAAGCTTAGAGACCTGGTGGAATTAGGCAAACATAAAAGATACCGGTGGCAGGGTGCTTTTTAGAGATGAGTGTCTTTATGCACATTTTGCTTTTAGCACAGTTGAGTTTATTGTGACTTTTTGTATATTAGGGTGTCAAATGTTTTTTATTTTTAATCTTTAATAAAAAATACTGAATTCACAACTGATGCCAGGTGTTCTGCGGTCTGATATACTTCTAACTGGCTTAAAAGTACAGTTTCCTATCGCCTACTAATAAATGTGTGTATTATGGAAACAATGCTGGCAATTAAGCACTTAATTCCTGTACTAAGCATTGTTAGCTCAACTGTTTGAATTCAAATGTTGCTTTTGTTTAATCCTCGAAGACACTTAAATTACTGCAATGAACAAGGTCACACTGACAGAAGGTGGATTTAAGGCCATGGGTTTTTCTGGGCTAGCGTATCTGGATGTCAGTCTCAAACCTACTGTACTTGATCTTCCTTCTGAAGGTGTTGCTCATGCACCTACACAGCCCCTAACTTAAGAAGTGCTAGGCACATCCTGCCCTGGGGCATGGCTTCACAGAGGTTGGGGAGTTATTTTGGTTGTTAGGAGTTTGGTTGGGTATTTCTGGTTGGTTTTGTTTTGTCTGTTGAATACAAAGTGAAATAGAGTGCAGTGGATTTGTGAAGTGTTGAAAGCCATGTTTCTTGGGGGGTAGGTGGGGGACCCTCAACATTTTTGTATGTGGAGTTTGACGTTTCCCCAGTTCCTGCTTTTTGGGGGGTGCCAGCTTATTTGTGCTGTGATAATACCTTGCAGAGAGCTGACATTGTAAAGAAAAAAAGGATTGTAGAGTTGCTTAATACATGGAAGTTCCCAAACACAGGACAAGCAAGAAAAGGAAGCAACCCAACTACCAAGGGACTAGACCTGTAACTCTGTTTTGTTAACAACCCTCTGGAACAACAAAAATGGAAACGAAGATATTGTTAAGACCTCTCCTTTGTAATTTTCTTTAAAGTGTTCTTATTCAGACATGGCCATCAGATATGTTGATTCTTCTCATCCCCTTTTCTGCTAAATTCCCTTTGAACTGGGGAAAGAACAGCAAAACCCAGTTGAGCAGGGGGAGGCCAGAGCTGTTGTAATGACCTTTCTGGTTTAGGGAGGGAGGTTAGCAGGTTGAAGTGTAAATGAAGGAGGAGCCTGGGACACTTGCACTAAAAGTAACACCCTACACACAAGATGACCTCTTCTTGGACCTCTCTAGCCCCAGTAGAAGGCCAGGTTTCTGTTTTTAAAGTTACTCGCCCTGTGTACCACATATTGCTTGATACCTTCCTCTCCACAATTAGCCCAGATAGCAATACCTCACTGTAATCACCAAGGGGATCACACGTTCCTGTGTGTCACACTGCTACACTAACGGAGTCCTTTGCTTTTTCGCAGCTAGAAAATGCCCCCTTGCATAAGGTGCTCTCAAGAGGAAGGTAAAGCCAGATACTGTTTCCTTAACACAACAGCAGCATCCACAGCCTTGCCTGTGGCTCACAACTGCACTCATGCACAGCAGCATTGGGGTACACATAGTTGTCTGAGTTGGCTGGCTTTGGGTGTGATGTGCAGGGTTGATCCTGCCCTGGTGCAGCCACTCCAGCCCTTCTGCTCCTGCAGGAACACTAGAGGCAGCTTAGCTTAATTTCCATGAGATGAAAGACCCCAGGGTTAGGGCTCTTCTGTGGCACTCCAGTGGAAGCAAGTGCAAATCCTGACACTTTAGTGACAGAAACACAGCCGAGAGTCAACATAAGACATGCCAGCTTTGGTTCAGCAGTGAATGTGGGGTGGGCTGGCAACAAAGCCACCTCTGCTAAGCACTATTGCTTAATTTCTGTATCTGCCCTGGAGAACCAGCACTGAAGTTTGCCTTCCCCCTTTCCCATTCCTGTGTGTATTGCTGATGGTGCTGTTCTTATCACACCTGGGATAACCCTCACAGCTGCAGAAAGAAGTGGGCAGAGGGGCTATGAACATGTGTGGCCATGGCTACCTGTGTCCTCCCAGAGCCTGGTACGTTAGGAAAAGCAACAGCAGAGGGATAACAGGCCTTTCCCCTGAGCACCTGTCAGTCCTGTATTAACTAAAATGAAACAGCCAGGTCAAAGCTGAAATAGGAAGAGTTTTTTTTTAAAGTGTCAAAGCATTTTAGAAATGTGTTAGCAATATGGCTGCTTGGTTTTGGGGGGGTTTAATCCACAAATTAGGTTCACAGAAAGTTTGCATCCCCTGATGAGGTGTTGCTGGATTTCTCCATTTGCATTTCTGTACCTTACTGCAAAGGTGTCAAATCTGACACCTCCCTGACAAAGGCAGGAAGAGGTGAGCATTCTGGAGGCAGGACTGGGGAAGGGGCAATGGGGAGAAAAAGGAAGATTTCCAGCAGCTCTGACGAAAAAGCAGAGAAGCCTTTTCAAGTCCTCCTTTATAGAAACTGCCTTTATTCTTTTCCATTCCAAAGTAATACAAACAGACTATCTGATCTGACAGTGCACCACCTTGCAAAAGAGGAGAGGAACAGCACGCTAACAGGAGGACTCATTTGATATGCAGCAGCAGAATAATAGAAAGAAGGGCTCGCTTTCCCCTCTCTGTGCATGTCACTCACCCACCTGTTGCAGGAGAAAACTGCTCCTTGTTATACCAGGTCACCTGGTAGTATTTATGGTCCAAACCTTCTCCTGACCTCTTGCCAACACATACCAGGTCTTTTGTTGGAGCGCTCGGGCCGGGAGGCAAGAATCAAGCTTTCAGACTGTCCAAATCAGTTTATGTCTTCATCTCCCACTAGCAAGTATCATGTACTCTACATCTACTCTACTCAAGTATCATCTACTCTATTCAAGTATCATGCTCTCTACAGAGCTTTCCTCTCCAAATAAATACACTTTTCAGTCTCTATTCAAATGAAACAAATAGAATAATAAAAAACCAAATCAGGCCATCCCTCAAGCAGCAGGGTTAGGGGATGCATGAGGGAAATTTCTGCTACAGAAAGTATGGATAGGACCCGGGAGAACATAATCTTGCTCCGCAGATGGGCGCAATGGTTTGAACAAGCACATGCAAAACTCAAGGATCCAAACCACCTACTAATCCACGTGTCTTAACCAGAAGCCTATCCTCCTTCTGCTTCCTGAGAAGACAGGTTTTCATTTTCTGGCATGAGATGCCTGGTTCCAAGTTGCATTTATACTTTTTGTTACAGAGACTTCCTGACTCCACGGTTATCTGAATGGATAGGGTCACTAAACTGTGCTCCTTAAGCCTCTCAGGCTTCTAAATGAACTAAGCTAAAGAAGAGCGGAAAAAACAATCTCCCTCCTTGCATGGGATTTTTAGCTTCCTATACAACATTAGCATTTCATTGCACTGCATTTTAAGAAGGTTAAGAAAAATTACAAACCCAAAGCTAGTGCAGAAAGCATGCAAACGTGAAAATACACTTTGCAGCAACATACTTGTAGCTTAATTTAGTTGAACAAGATGATGAGTGAGGGTGATTTGATTCCTTATAGTGCATCTGTTGTATTATACATATGTTATATTGCTCACTTACCAGCTGAGGAAGTCATGGGTTCAAAAAGTCTTTAATCCCATAAAACAGAGCCTTAAATGCCAAGAGCTATGTAGCAGGTCCAAGCTGTTTGAAATGAGAAGGAAAAAGATGGAAATTAGATACTGGAAGAAGCCATGAATTTCCTTTCTCTTAATGTCACCAGGTCAAGAAACACAGTGCAAATACAAGTTGCTTTGGCTACAAAAAAGCCCCACTTAGTAAAACAACAACATACAAGCAATTATATCAGCTGATCGCTTTTGGCCTTCAAAGATTGTAAAATTGTAAAATTACCTCAATTTGGGTTTTTCTTTTTTTAGCTTTTACACTGATCTCAGGCTAAAATATAAGTTGGAAGCAAGGTGAGTTGTTTTCTTTGCATCCGAGACCTAGGGCATCTGGAAACAGATAGCTTCAGGAATTGCCCAGGTTCATTCACTCTCAGCTGAACTCTGTAAAGCTCCAAGCCTATTTAAGCACAAAGTAAAGCAGCCTAACCTAAAATCACCATCAAAGAGGCATACTTTCAAGGATCCTTAGAATGATGTGCCCATTGAGAGGAAAGGGAAATTACTGGGCAACACCCAGAGCCAGCATATCCACTCAGATGTGTTTTTCCAAATGGGATTCAGCTTCTAGTGGCTGACTGGGGAAGTCCTGCTGCATTTTGAGGTTTGGACTGTCCATGGCAGAGACACACACTAGTAAAACTGTAGAATTTCATTCTCCTTAACCTAAACTGAGTTCACCAGAACCAACCTGTGCTAAGCAAAGTCACTATAGAACCCCTTCCATTATCACCATGTAACGGCCTTTGCAATCTGTGTTCCACAGACGGAGAAGGGGAGGGAAAAAAAGCCTAGAAGAGACATCAACTGCATTATCAGCCCCATCAAACTTTTCCAATCATATACTTCACCGAGGCCCGAATCACCCAAGTTTCTAGTGAATTTGCCTCCTTTGGGCATGCAAATGCTACTTGGTGCTTACGACCAGGCCTTCATAAAACAAGGATGCCTTCATTACTCACAGCAGACCCCCAAACATGGCTGGTACCTACCCACATATTGCTCCTTTCCATAAAACAACATGCACAGACTCCTTTCCTGCTCAACAGACTCCCAGCAGACACCTGCAGAGCACCAGGAGTCCAAGACCGTATTAGACACATATGGGTCTGTTCCAGGTTCTATCCATCCTTCACAGCAGCAGATGAACTGGTCAGAGAACAAATGTAAATGAATGCCCTCATCCAAAAGCAGCGCACAGCTTCTTACCCAATCCAGGATTCTGGAGCAAGTCTCTGCTGAGTAGCTGCTACTCTCAAGCCTCCCACTCACTGACCCCTCCACTGAACAGGCAGTTTCTTCATAAGCCAACACCGATTCTCTGTGAAGTCTGTGAAAGCAACCTACAAGTAAGAATGATCTGCTTCTCAGGAGCTCTGGGATGCCTGTGCAGAGTGCCCAGAATGGCCCCTAGCTCATGGAAAGCTTTATCTGAAGTGACACATAATTTGTAAAGGTCCTCAATGTGCTTGGTCTCAAAAAGAGGGTTAAGACTCAGACAGCACAACTATTCCCACATCATACCTTATGTGCTCCATGCACAGTACAGAATCACAGAATGGTTTGTGTTGGAAGGGACCTTAAAGCTCATTCAGTTCCAATCCCCTGCCACAGACAGGGACACCTTCCACTAGACCAGGTTGCTCCAAGCCCCTGTGTCCAACCTGGCCTTGAACACTGCCAGGGATGGGGCAGCCACAGCTTCTCTGGGTACCCTGTGCCACTGCCTCAGCATTCTCACAGGGAAGAATTTCTTCCCAATGTCTAATCTAAATCTCTCTCTCATCATCTTAAACAGGGGCAGATCCAGGTGCAGGACCTTGCACTTGGCATTGCTGAACTTGACGAGGTTCACACAGTTCACCTCTCCAGCCTGTCCAGGCCCCTCTGTATTCCATCCCTTCCCTCCAGTGTGCTGACCAAACCACACAGCCTGGTGTTGTTGGCAAATTGCTGCGGGTGCACTGATCCCACTGTCCCACTGACAATACACAGGAGCAGCTGCCCAGAGCACCATTGTCATGCAGACAACAGGGACAACCAACAACTCTTTGCACCTGCTTTTCTGCTACGGTGTGTTACCAGCAGCACTGAGCTGCCCAGCGGTGCCCATGCTGGCTGCCATGGAGTAGAGCCAGTCAGGGTGACTCAGTTAACAGCAGGGCAGACTGCACTTTCAACTGCTGCAGGAAGCAGGAACAATGATTCACATCCTTTCAGCATCGCTTCAAGGCTACAAAACTCCAGTGACAAAAAGGGAGTCTTCAAAATACAATGCAAAAACCCAAGATCCTGATGCTCTGTGCTTA